GAGCATTTAAAAAAATAAGCAATTTTTTTTAAAAAAAAAACAGTTGATATGCACGATTGTCATGTTATTCAAAAGATATTAATTTGAGTGTACGGGTGTGCATGACAACCATTCTATTCCCTAGCACTGTTTCTGAAAAGAAACAATTCTTTTCTATTTCTGTGCCTTGGAACAGTTCTTGAGAAAAAATGTGTTTGATAACATGTTTTATTTTTATTCCGAGAATGAGAATTCTGGATCATCACTTTCCTCTCCATATGGTGTGGTTGTGGTGGTAGTGGCGGGGATGGTATGATAGTGTTGGTTGCAGTGACGTGGTTAAGATAGTGGTGGTGGTTGTGACGGCAGTAACTACGACAATGGCGGCGGCGGCGGCAGCTGCGGTAGTGGTGGGGATGGTAGTTGTGGAGGTGACGGCAATGGCTGCGACAATGGTGGTGGGTATGGTGGTTGCTGGCGGTAACAATGGTAGTAGTGGCATGGTGGTGGTGGTTGTGAAGGCATCATGGTGGTGGTGGTGGCAGTGGTTGCGGCGGTGGCGGTGGTGTTAGGTGACAATGATGGTAGTGGCGGGGGTGGTGTAAAGGTGGCGATGGTGGTGGTGGTGGTGACAGTAATGGCTGTGACGATGGTGGTGGTGGTTGGTGGCGGCGGCGACGAAAGTGATGGTGACGGTAGTGGCTGCGACAATGGTAGTGGTGGTAGTGGTGGCGTCGTGGTGGTGGTAGTGATGGTGGTAGTGATGGCGATGAGGGTGGTGGCAGTGGCGTGTGATGGCGATGGTGGCGGTGACGGCAATGGTTGCGATGATGGTGGTGGTGGTTGATGGCGGTAGTGGTGACAGTGATAGTGGTGGCGGGGGTGGTAGTTGTGGTGGTGGTGACGGTGGCATGGTGGTAGTGATGGGTGGAGGTGGTGGTGATGGTGGCGATAACATCGTGGTGGTCAGGGGTGGTGACGACGGCACTAGTGGTATGATGGCGGCGGCAACGATGGTGGCGACAATCGTGTTCGGGATGATGGTGGTGGTGGTGATGATGGTAGAGGTTGAAAGTGATTGAGAGAGATAACTGTTTCTCATTTTGTGTCCGGGAACAAAAAAGCAGAAATTTTTTGATTCTTTTTTCTGTTCCCCAGCACAAAAATTAAACCGGTTCATCCCGGGAACAAAAAAATAAACCGGTTTTACCAAACAAGTTTCCTATACATTTCTGTTCTCGGGAACTGAAATTAAGAAAGAATTGATTCCGGGAAGGTTGTCATGGACATCCTACAAGTCATATAATTTATCATTATTTTAAAAAAATAAAATAAAGTACTATATGACATAGGTAAATCAAACTAAGTTGAGTTTACTGAAAAAAAAAACATCATACTAAGTTGAAGTGTGACCTGAACTTGACTTAAAAACAGAGTGAATTTTTTCAAAGATTTAATTATACTTTTGGTGTTTTTACTCTATTTGATGTGAAATTTTAGTTCCCCAAATAATTTATTTCTCAAATTTAATCCCTCAATTAATTAATTTTTATAATTGTGAATATCTAATTTTGTCCCAATTATTTAAAAATGACACAAATAATTAAAATTGTGAACACTCATTTTTGTTCATGTTTGATAGTAAAAACTGATCCAAAATTCATTAAGGGGGTGTTTGGTATGAGTTTTTTGATTGGAATGATGGGTAAGTGGATTTGGTAATAATTTTTTATTATGTTTGGTACGAAGATATGTAAGAAATTCCTAGATAAAAACATCCCCAGCATTTGAGTTTTTCACTAAGGATCGAAAAAAAAAATAATTCTCTTACATATGGTATTTATTTTTTCCGTTGAGAAGGCTGCGTAACTGATCTCTTGATTTGTGCGCCAGTTGGTGAAACAACAATGTTCGATATTGATATGTGCAAAAGCATGGGTAATTTGGTACAAAAATGAACATAGCATCATAAAAGACGTACAAAAGTAAAAAAAGGATGGGTAATTTGGTAAATAAAATTAACATTCCCATTAATATTTTATCATCAACCAAACGTAGTATCAGTAAAATTAATGCTACTTTCCTCACAATATTTTGGCCTATCAAACACATTTTTAATACTTTCCCGTGCAAAATATTTTCCTACCATATTCTTAGAATTATTTTTTCCCAATAAAAAAAATATCTCTTATACCAAATGCCCCCTGAAGAAAAGAAAAAAGAGAAGTTGAAGTCACATGGATAGAACCTATACCCTATCTTTTAAAAATTCCACATTGGAGGGATCTTGTCTACTCCTCCTTCCTTCCCCTTTATATAAGGAGATCCTCATTTTCTGCTTGACACCTAATACTCTGCTAAGTGTTGCAAAAGATATTTGAGCTTAAAATACTAAGATTATGTTATAGTAAATTTTTTTTTGAGGAGAATTGGGGTAGCTCTTCACTATTTGGTTTCATACACCAAGATTTGTCATCTAAACTTACTTTCTCTTCATAGTTAATTAATTGTCCTTTTATAATTATCTAAGTTGCTTTATTACCTAAAAGTTTATAATTAAATATTTGGGAAATGTAATATTTATCACCATTATAGGCTTATCATTATTATCACCTGATTATATATCATTAGATCAATTTGAAATCAAGGGATAAATAAGTTTTTTTTTTTGATAATAAAATAAATAAGTTTTTGTTAAGTATATAACCGTTCTTAAATATGTTGGGAACGTGTCTTGATACTTAATATTTTATCATATTCTATCACCAGAAATTATCTTTAGAATATAAAGCATCATCTATAAAAGGAGGTGCCAATTCAGAATTAGTGGATATAGAGAACTTTGTAACACACTCGCGGAACATCGATTTCCCTCTTTCACAATCAATTTCGCTACAAGCCTACAACGTTGATCCTCTTTTGTTTAAAAGCGAACATTGTTTTCTTATAATTGTTTAGAAACGCCAAAGGGAGGTTTCTGTTCTTGATAAGCAATCGAGCTGTTAAAACAATCATGAAAAAAGAGAGGAAGAAAAATTCGAAAGTTATAATGTGTTAATACTTTATTACATGAAAATTAATAATTAAATATTTTCGAGAACAACATGTTCTCTCACGTTCTCTTGGTACTCCTTCACGAGAAACCATCCTTAGAATATAAGTTGGCAGAACAACATTACAAGAGAACTTTGTAAACCTTCAAAAAAAAAAAAAAAAAGAAAGAAAGAGAGAGAGAACTTTGTAACGTGTGGAGATAGAGAAGTTTGTAACGCCACACGCAGAACATTGATTTCACCTCTTTTGCAATCAAATCCGCTACAAGGAAGGATAAATATTTTATAGGATTAATGTTTTCCATATTGATATTTCTATTTGTGTAAATTCCCACTGATCCATGTATATCTTAATATTTATTATTTATTTAAATTATTTGTGTAAATTAACATTTTACATAATTTATATATTGATTAATTAGAAACACCTACAGTTTTTATATATCGATGTGGTACATTATAACTTTGTATAAACAAAACAAAAGTATATTGTATATACATTTTTAATTTTTTTTTTCCAATTGAAGAATCATGTATTTGGTTTTTTTTTTTTAATTTGTATGTATTTATACTTATAAAATGTGATATTATTTTTTTTCTTTTCAATTCAAGCTTTTGTAAAAGAGATAATGAAGACATTTTATTTTTTCAAAAAACTTAAAAATAAAACTAAAATTAAAAACTATAACATTTTATAAATAGTAAAAAAAATAAAAATACTAACATACAAACACAAAATACAAAAGACCACAAAAAATCCTATTTAATTTAGATTATGAAAACTTAGGCATGTTTTGTAGTGCGATGGAGAATGACGAGACAAGTCGATTCTTTTGAATGCAATATATGATATTTTTTAGCAAGAATCAATTCTAAAAGAAATAAAACCAAATGTATATAATTACTGCAATAACCTCATGTCTTTGTCTCTTTTACAATTATAATAATAAATTTATGTCTTGTATGATATTTTGGTTTTACTTTAGACCAATTAATAATATTATTAATTATTCTAAACTAATTTTTAAAATATAACAAATCGGTTTTTAAAAATGTTAACAATAATCCTTCTGAAATTGTCTACATTAAAATTTAACTCAAACAAGTATGAAAGTATTTTCTTTAATACATTTATCAATTTATTAGTTATTTGACTAATTTGATTTGAAAATAAAAGTCTAAGTTAAAAATTAAATAATAATTTCAAAATTTCAACAATTGAGATAACTGAGAAAAATAAAGAACGGGGCAACAATTATTATTAGATTGTTGACAATAATTAAAGTGACACAGTGAATATTACTATCAACATAAATAATTAATTATGCTTCTTTTGAAGAATAAATTTTGAATATTACTGTGGCACAAAACTACGACGGTCGTATTATAACTATGTATTTTAAATAATATATAGTTATAATAATAATTTTTTTTTCAAAATTTATTGATTGATATATAGAGAGAGAAAAAAATGTCACACACTGAGTATTCAGTACATGGATAGTACTAAAAATTTGTTCTCTTTTGAAAGAACACGTCATTGTTAAACGGAGTATATATATTATAACAGTTAAGATAAAATGATTTACAATACCTAAATCTTATAAGTAAATTCCATTAACTGCCGCTTATAAAAAAAATCAAAATATCCAGACTATTAATTATAACCTTAATAGAGCAACTCAAAATAAAATAAATAAATCTATCCATACAAGATCAATAAAACTAAAATAAATAACAGAAAACTGGACAGCATTGTTTTCTCGAGTTTGCAATAAATCAAATCTTGAAGAAATTACATTTATTAACATTGTCGAATTGACCTTGTTTGACAAATAAAAAAAAATAAAAATGGAGGTTACTGTGGAAGTTGAGCAGTGATTTTGAGAGGTGCGTGTGCGTGTTTGTTGAAACAGAACTAATCGAAATTCTTTTTAGCTTTTCAGACATTTTCGGTAAAAGAATACATAAACAGCAAAATAAAAAATAAAAAATAAAAAATAAAAAAAATTGAAAAAAGAAAGATCTTCGGTTTTGCTCACTCACGCTCGCGCAAGCCCTGGATTTTCTTCCCTCACACCATAACCACCACCACAACCTGTTTTCTCTCTTCTTGAAAACCCTAATTCATACGTCGCCGTTTACTCTCTCTCTCTCTCTCTCTCTCTCTACCTTTCAGATTGCTTAAAAGGATCAGGTACTTATGGACCTCCTTCCTTGTGCATGGTTCCAACTCTCAACACCCTTATGATCCACAATTTCATTGAATTCTGATTGATTTTGCGTTGAATCGAGATTCAAGCTTGCCGTTGATTCTTGATTCATTTCCTTTCTAAATTCGATTGAAAACTTATCGGTAAATGGGGGCATGAATATGAATATCAAACTCTGCTATGCATGAGTTCGCTGCTTGTAATTATATCCATCTGAATTATGCATCCATGGGCACGCTTGCTCTGTTTGGTTGAATGAAGATTTACTATTGACGTTTTTCTGTTCTGTTTTTTCATTTTCATGGAGAATCTAAATGAGATAAATTTAAATCATTTGTGTTAGATTTGGTTTGAATTTGATTATTTTCCTTTTCTGGTTAGGGACCAAAGCTGTGGAATGGGAGAATATGCTGGTTATGAATCGAATTTCTTCTTCTTTTTCTCATGGAGGGTTCCTGATATCCGAAAAAAGCACCACCTTGGCTAGGTTTCTGTAGGGTTTGTTGAGATTCTCGTAGGTGTTTTTTTTTTTTTCCTTCCTTCTAAATCTTCATTTGATCTCAGATGTGGGATTGGGTTTGAGAGTTACTAGATCGGCAATAAAAATAAAAACAAAAACATTTGATCATTGTCAATGGATTTGAAATTTAATTCGTGTGAAGATTTGTTCGTTGTTTTCTGAGCATTGAATTGGATTTACTAGAGGAGGAGCATGGAGAACGTGTGTGATGTGAATCAATTGGATGCTGATGTTCTTTTGCCTCCTCGGAAGCGTCTTCTAGCTGGGTTGAAAAAACAGAGCTCAGATGGTGATGCTGCAGCTTCTCCATCTCAGGTTGTTGGTTCTTGTGTTCCAATTTCCGAGGCTGCTTCCTCTTCCTCATCTTCCTTTACCAGTGAGTTCGAAGCCCGGCTTAAGAATTTGTTGAGTTCTCATTCTAATAACCCTAAGCTTACCCCTGAGGAGGTTGTTGAGGCCTCAAAGGCAGCGGCAGTGTCTGCAACTAAAGCTGCACAGGTTGCAAGAGCTGATGCTGAGGAAAAAGCTGAAATAGCAGCAAAGGCAATTGCTGCAGCCAAGAGTGCTTTAGATTTGGTTGCCTCTTTCTCTGAAGAGGCAGTCAGCAAGGAAAGAAATCTGAAGAAGAACAAGCTAAAGAAGCATCTCCCAGTTCAGCTCTTGTACAAAAAATACCAACCAATTGAAAATTGTGGGACGGATGAAGAATTGGCCCGGAAGTTGCATCGTGCCATGAACAGTTCTCCTAGAATTTCGAAGAACTCTCCCAATTCAGACTCAAAAGGTAGTAAACACAAGAAGCCTAAAAGTTCTTCAAGTTTTGAATTAACTGAGGTTTCTGATGCCAGCATGGCATTGGGACTAGATTGCTTGTCTTTGAACAATGGGCATGCAGTAGCAGGTAAGATTGATTCTGAAGGCTCCATTCAAGAAGTATGCTCAGGTAAGGAAGATAAGAAGGGATTCAGATATGATAGATCTAGCCAAATGGAGATAGATAATATGGAAGCAGAGTCAAGCAGGTCAAAGGAGAAAAATTCTGAAGATTTGTGTACCATAGGTAAGAAGAGAGGAAGGGTGAAGCTAAAAAAGTTGCCCTTAAGCATTTGCACCTCCAAAGATAGGGCACAGCCAAAGGAAGGTACAAGAGCTAGAAGTTCTCCATTGATTGAAATGAACACAGACAATCATCCTGTTGGTAATATGCCTTTGTTTCCGGTGGAGCCATCCACTGACAGAGTGATGCCAATTGAGGCTACATCAATGTGCAAATTGCAGGAGTTCAAGGCACCGGCTTGTATCAAACAAAATAAAGCTGTGCAATCATAGTATTCAAATTAAATTGAGATGACTGGGTGCTAGTACGACTGTGATAGAAGTCCATAACTGAGGTAGAAATCATGATCCTTTTTTTTTTTTTTTTCACATATATTCCCTTTATCTTTTTTGTCCATCTTTGGCTTTGTAATGGATTTGCACTGATTAAATGTAAATTTAGATTTTTATTTGATTGCATTACTTCTTGCAGTTAACAGTTGTGTAAGGTTAATTGACAGCAAAGCTTTAGATAGGAAGATGCAATGAGTTGAACAGCTTTTCCATTATGCTGCATATTCCATCCAGCATTTGTATTGAGAATAAAAAGAGAAAACCTGTTGGTCTTCTATTTTTGCTTTTTGTTTAACTGGTGATTGTTCCTCATGCAACGCTGGTGGTGCTTTTTGCTTCCTGAGTTATTAATATGGTTATTAACAGTTCATGAAATTCATTGATTAGAAATTTGTAAGTTGCTCAAAAGTCAAAACCAACCTCTTCTTATAGGAGTGTTAACACGACTGGTTGCAAGGGTTTAACTTGCCCGAACTTGGTCTAATATTTTTATTTGATCATGCTTCTTGTAAAGAACCAATTCAACCCAAAATTTTAAGGTCTAATATTTATATTATTCTCTAACACACCTCCTCACACAAGAGTCCTTTGGGCTTGAAGTGTGGATATTGCACATGCCCAATTTTTGGTTTACCTTTTTGTGTTTTTTATTTATTTAATTCCACAAGTGGGGGACGATGAGGATTGAACTCGTGACCTTATGGTCACTGAAGCTCTGATACTATGTAAAAAACCAATTCAACCCAAAACTTTAAGGTGTTGGATGAGGGCCTTTTTAATGATTTATATTATTCTCTAACATTTTTAGACTTGAATCCACCCTTGTCATGGCGAATGACCGAATAAGGATCGGGACAATTTAATATTTAAACAAAGCATATAAATTTATTCGTTATAGTGATAGAACTTTAGAAGTGGAAAATTAAAAATAATTGATTCTTTACGATATAATTTTAAAACAAATAATATAATTACAAAAATATGTGCATGTTTGACTTAGTTTATTTCAGGATTTTTTTATGGGAGCATTTGAAAAAAAGTTGTTACGTACAAGTATCATATTATTCAAAAGATATTAATTTAAGTGTATAAGTCTTATGATTTATCGTTAGTTTTTTTTTTTTTTAAGCACTGTATGGCATAGAGATGGATCAAGTTAACTTAAAGTGTAATACATAAACTTGACTTAAAAACACAATGAATCATTATATAAAGAAAAAGTTTTAATTATACTTTTGGTGTTTTTACCATGATTAATGTGTGATTCTAGTGCCTCCAATAATTTTTTTCTCAAATTTAATCCTTTAATTCTTTATTTGTCACAGTTAAATCCTTCCGTTGATTTTTCTCTTCATAAAATCCTCATTTTTTCACACAAATGATTGGGGGTTTAGGACTAATTTGGGGTAATAAATAATTTGAACGGTTTAGAATACAAGAGTTTGATGAAATTTGGAGGAATTTCCTACGAAGTGAGGTTAGGATTTTAAAAGGGAAAAACTTTGATTACCAAAAAAAAAAAAAAAGGAAAAAACTTTCATTTTGATTTTTTTTTAATTTTTGGTGAAATTTTTGGTTTATAGGTAATGACTTATGAGGGAAAGAATGTTTAGACTGGTATAAATAATTTGGCGATTTTGAGTAGAAAAATAGGGAAAGGATATTGTGACAACCAAGTTGTGTTACTACCAAGTAGGGGTGGCAATTTGGGTTGACCCGCCCCGACCCGCCCCGCCCCGCCACCAACCCACCAAAAACGGGGCGGGGCGGGTTGACCCGCCAAAAAATATGGGTTGTAAAAATGAACCCACCCTGTTTTATGGTGGGTTGGCGGGTCAACCCACCAACCCGCCAATTAAAAAAAATTTAATTAAAATTCAAAAATAAATTATATTTTATGAATTTTTTTAATATTATTTTATTTTATTTCACACTTCTCTATATTTTTTTAGTCTCAATCTTAAATGTATACTAATATTTGTCAAACATTCTTTAGGAATTTATAAATAGATAACATTTGTCATAAATAAAATTGTTATTCTTTATTTTTCTAGAAAGTACTAAGATAAAAAAAAATTGAATATCACAAAAATTTAAGTACTAATGAAATACTACCTAATTGTAAAAAAAAAAAAAAAAAATTTAAAACCCGGCAGGTCAACCCGCCCCGCGACGGGTTGAACCCGTTGTGACCCACTTCTAGGCGGGGCGGGTTGAGGTGGGTTGGTGGGTTGAAAATCTCAACCCAACCCGCCCCGTTTTGACGGGTTGACCCGCCGGGCTCAACCCATATTGCCACCCCTACTACCAAGTGACCTGTTAGATCGATTATGTTGATCCAACGGTTATATTTATTTTCATCTTTGTATGGTCATGATTCCCCATATTTAAAGTGAAAACATTAAATATGTGAAATCATAACCATACAAAGGTAAAAATAAATATAAATTATTAAATTTGAGAAATCATGACCATACAAAGATGGAAACAAATATAACCGTTAGATCAACATAATCGATCTAACGGTGAAATTGATTAGTAGTCACTTGGTAGTAACACAACTTGATTGTCACAGTATCCTTCCCCAGAAAAATATAGTTTGCCATTTTTACTTAATAGGAAGTAAATTTATAAAAGAACTTTGTGACACCATACGTGGAAAGCGAGGAATATTTTATATGAGAATTCATTTGCTTTTGATTAAAAGTGAATGTTTTCTTTATAATTACTGAAAAACGTCAAATGGTAGTTATTGCATTTCACAAGGAGAGGAGAATTCTTCGTCTTTTGCTTTAAAATGGACATTTTTCTATAATTATTAAAAAAATGATGGTTATTTGTTTCATGAATGTTAAATGATTTTAAAATTTTGGGTGAAATTTATTGTTTTGGTTGATAGGTTATGCTGGAAAGAGTGTTTAAAACGGTTTAATCAATTTAGTGATTTTTGAATAGAAAATGAGGCTCTAAGATTTTACATAGAAGGGAACTGATAAAAGAACTTTGTTGCGGAATGTGAGGGGAATAATTTATGGGAAATGATTCGTTTACAATTTTTTTTTACAAATTATATTAAATATGACCGGTCATAAACTCTTGATTAAAGTATGACTGGTCACACATAATGTAGTTTGTAAAAAAAATAATTATAAATATAACATTTTCAACAATTTATATAAGAATTCATCCTCTTTTAGTTAAAAGTGAGTGTTATCCTTATAAATAATGAAAAAACGTCAAAGGGTAGTTATCGTGTTTTATAATCCGTCTAGAAAGTTAACCTTATTTCTAAAAAAAATAGAATATTATAACAATCAACTAGTGTTATTATCAATGTTACTACCAATCAATTTTACCGTTAGACTAATTATGTTGATCCAACGATTATATTTATTTTCATCCTTGTATGGTTATGATTTTCCATATTTAATATTTTCACATTAAATATGAGGAATCATAACCATACAAATGTTTGACATTAAATACGAGGAATCATAATCATATAAAGGTGAAAATAAATATAAATTATTAAATATGAGGAATTATAATCATACAAAGATGGAAATAAATATAACAGTTGGATAAACATAATCAATCTAACAGTGAAATTGATTGGAAGTAATATTGGTAATAACACTATTGAATATCCTTCCACTTTCTAAAATTCTTATAAAATGACAAATAGAGGTTATCATGTTTCACAAATGCCAAATAACTTTTTAATTTTGGGTGGAATATATTCTTTTGGTTGATAAGTTATGAGGGGGAAAATGTTTAAGGGTTCGTTTTTTGTCATGTCATATGACAAGAGCATTTTATATGCACACATAAATCAAGTGTGGGTTCCACACTTTTAAAAAAAATTAGGATACAAAATCAGATCCTTATTGCAGAAAAAAAAAACAGTATCATTCCTACATCATGACAAATTGATTTTCCAATATTTAAACGGTTTGAATTTAACCAATTTATGTTCTTGAACGAAAAATGAGGGTTTGATATATCGTTAATAGAAATAGATTAAAATAAAATTTGTTACACTTTGAAAATTGCAAGGGAAATATTTTATGGATTTAATATTTTTCTTGTTGCTACTGGAGATAAAATTATCTCTCGTTATTCAAAATAATATTATTTTGGGATTAGGATAAAATTATAAAAATATCTTTTTTGTCAACCTAAAATAACATTATTTTGAGATCAGTAGCCGAAAAAACATTACATCCATATTTTATATGAAAATTCATTCTCTTTTGGTTAAAAGTGAACTTTATCTTTATAATTACTAACTAACAAATGCTAAATGCTAGCTGTCGTGTTTCATATAGAGAGGAAAATTTGTCCTCTTTTGCAATAGGTGGACGTTATTTTAAAAATTATTAAAAAAATGCCAAAGGGTTTTTATCATGTTTCATAAGGACCTGAGCTAAATATATAGAAAAATGAAGAAAAATCCAAAAATTGTAGCGCATTGAGGTATCTTGCCTGAAAATCAATATCTAAGTATTTTGATAATGATGTTCTCTCGTTCATCCCGTTTTGCTATAAAGTGCACATTTTTCCTTTTTACAAATTATGAAAAAAATGCCAAATGTTGGTTATCGTGTTTCATAAGTTGGTGATATATTAAAACAACAAACATACATGAAAAGTAAAGAAAAATCCTAAAGATGTAACACATTGATGGTTTCTTGCATGAAAATCAGTATTTAAGGGTCTGTTTGATTGTGTTCTGATTTTTTTGTTCTTAAAACTGTTTTGTAAAATAGTTATAGAAACAGTTATTTTCTATATTTTTTTCTTTTTGAAAGTTAAAAACCAAAATAGAAAACAAAACCAACTCAAACATGTTCTCTAAATTTGATTTTAAAAACAAAAAAAAAAACAGTTATAGTTTTCAAAACATTTTTTACAAAACAGGTCTTACCAAACGAGTTTTTTAGTTTTTTATGTTCTGAAAACTAAAAAACTGTTTTGCAGAACAGTATTCAAACAGAGCCTAAGTATTTTAGGATGATGTTCTCTCAATACTCCATCACAAGAGTCATTCTTTTTTGCTATAAAGTGGATGTTTGATAAACCTTTAGTTTATCTTGTTTTATAGACTAAAATTATATGAATCATCA